GGGTGAAGAGTGGGAGTTGGGGGGGTGGTGTCGGTGCCCGGGTGGTCGGGATGTGCTCCCGGTGCGTCCCGGTGAGGTACACGCGTGTGCGGGGACAATGCGGGGCGTCCGTCTCCTGCGGGGACTTGGCACTGTCCCCTGGAGTCTAGTTTTGGGAGGGGGGGGAGGATGCATCTTCTTGGAGGTCAAGTTCCTCCTGCCTTTGTCTCTTTGTTGGTATTTTTTTTATTCTTTGAGCCTTTAACGGCAGTATCTCACCAAAGAGCTGGAGCAGCGTTTTGTCTGCGGAGGGGTTTGCCAGCTCTGGGCAGTCTGAACTCACAAAGGTAAAGTTTTGTGAAGTTCAGTCGAAGTGAAAACTTCTCACATAAAGGCTATTCCTTTTAACACGTTTAAATATTTCGTGCTAATTGCTCCAAGTTTTTTCTCCTGTTCCGTATGTTTATGAAACCCCATCCATACGAGTTTTTTTTTTTTTGTGAATGAAATTAACACTGAAAAGTGCCCACATGTAACTTTCACTTGCAATCTCTTGTTTCTGTTTCATTTTAGCTTTTCTGGCTCTCCCTCAATGTATGGCTCTTCTGGAAAACCTTCCTGCTCTATTACCAAGGGCTGCAGTATTATTATTTGCATCAGATGTTAGGGGTGAGTGACCCGGACGTTACTTTTTGCCCTGGAAATTGGGATGCTGGGAGATGGGAAAGGGAAAGGATGCATTTGCTAATCAAGGATGACACAAACTGCCTGTTAACGCTGCGGAGCGGGGAAAGATCAAGGAGGACATGACTGGGATGCTGTTGACAGTTGTTTAGGAGTAGAAAGTGAACAGCGTGGAGAAGAAAAAGAGCCAGTTGAGTGTGGGACAGCCATCCTTCTCCCGCCTTTCCTCCCTCCCGGTGTTCCCAGCTGCAGACAGGCTCACAGGAACACAAATATGCTCAACAGATGACTGGAGCTCAACTTTTTGTCATCAAAACGTTAGCCAAGCTTATGGGCTCGCGCTGGCAAATCCTTCCTAATCCAGTTATTGTGATACATATTTGCTGGAGGAATCCTTTGCTATGTCTTAGTTCTTTTCAGTGTTTGTCATCCCCATAGTTCCTGCATTCTGTGTAAATCATTGTGATCTATATAATTTTAGTTTTGTTTTCTAACAACAAATTCCTGGAATCTGAATGATGTAACAAAGATTTTCCTATTTTGATTTTGCAAGGGTAATCTCCACCACCACCAGAAGAATCCAAAAAAAAAAAGATAATTTGGGAAAGTGAGAAGTGAGATATGGGTCTGTCTTGTGAAGTTATCCACAGCTATGCTGTTGCAGTTGTTTGAAATGACTTCTGTCCAAAGGGATAGATTAAGTGTTAACAATTTTCTGGAAAGTGCTCTAGGGTTGCTCAGAATTTGAGAATGCAGGAAAAAGTAGATGAATAACATGATGTTTTGTTAACACCGTATCATACTAGGGAATGGATTTCAATGCAAAGTTCACATGGGGCTAAAGCACGGATGATGCACATCCTAACCTGCTGTAGAGCCCCTGGGTTTTATCTTTGGTAGATCCAGGATATATTTTTTTCATATGTCTGAGATCATTGCCAGAGCTGATAAGCTCCATGAGCTTTTGTGAACTTGCTTGAAAGCAAGTTGACCTGATAGACTTCTCTCCTTTTTTCTTCTTATGGCTGCCTTAGATGTATCAAGAAATAAACCTTAGCAAAGGTAATGCAAAAAGGAGGGAATGAAAATACTTAAATAATTCATGAAACAGAAAAAATAATTCATGAACAAAAAAAAAACAAACCATGAAAACATGTTTAATTTTACCATAATCTTGAATAGTGTTGTGGCCCAGTGCATCCATTTGTTCCTGGCAGAGCAAGTGGGTTGTTTATAAAACAAGTGTTCTTGGGTCAACATGTTGGGCCAGATTGTCAGCTGGTATCAATCAGTGAAGGTCCTCTCAATTCAGAAGACTCATCTGCCTTGTACCAGCTCATCACCTGGCCTTTTTTTTGGTGCTTTCTTGTACTTCAAAATGAAAGACGTATACATTAATATAATGTGCATTCAGAACATGCGTGTTGGTTCAGGCAACAGATCCATTGTTTTGGTCAGGAGATGAGAGCTCGAAGGACATGCTTTGAGTTGTGTCTGCAACTGTGGGAAAAAGTGCCAAAGAAGCTTTAAAATGAGAAAGAAAGTGAAAAGCTAAGTCTAAAAGATGCCTTAACCAAAGCTGTGAAACTAATTTAAAATTTTTGAAAGCATTAAAGACTAAAACATCGTCACAGGTCTGCTAAGGAGTTTTTTTCTCTCTTTGTACACTGCAGTGGCCTAAAATCTCTTTAAGAACTTATGCTCTTGCAACACTGAAAGATTTACCACAGGTAATTTTATTGTTTTCCAAGTAACAGGATGGAAAACAAGAAGTTGCTTTGGTAAATCAGATTGTGATATGAAATGAAATCTTGAACTGAATATCCGAATATATTCAACTCTGCTGTGTTTTCATGCTACATTTCTTTTCTTTCTGATGTGAAGAAGAAAGAATTCTTTTCTTCAGTGATTACTGGAGTGGTTCACTTTCCTTCAGCCTTCTGCAGAAGGAGACTTCAGATTGCATCTTCTGCAATCTTGATACTTAGCACAGGATTTGAAAATTATTTGGATACCTAACTCTTAATCTTTCAGTGTCGATCTTTCTTATCCTTAATTCTACACCTATAAAGATGCAATAATAGCATGGTGGTGTCCTGGAAGCGTGAAGAGAATAAAGAAGTCAATGACACTGATGTGCTAGGAGAAGGTTAAACAGTCTATTCAACACCACAAAATCTAGTGGGTAAAGTGTCAAACGTCACCACTTTGCTCAGTTTGAGTCCTATTGATGAGACCACCATAAGCTCTTCAATGTGTAATGTCTGTCCTTGGAAGTTTTCAAAAACTAACTGGACAAAACCCTGAGCAAACTTGGTCTGAGTTTGGTGTTGAACCTGCTTGGAGTAGGAGGTTGGAATAGAGACATCCCAAGGTCCATTCCAACCAGAATAATTCTGTGATTATATGGTTTTGTGGTATAAGTTAACCAGAACCTAGTGGATGCAAACCGCTTCCCTGTATTTTTGCCTTGATAATCCGCCCTTTTGGATACTTAATTGCTTGTCACTCTTCAGATCAGAGTCTCACCACATTCATCGCTGCTGGTCCAAGAACATAAGCCAAGTAAAAAAAAATCTCAGTTTTTCATAATTTAGTAAATGTAAACTTGTGACATTATTTTCCCTAAAGAAGAGAAGTCTGTGAGGAACACAACGACAAAGAGGAAAGGAAGATTCTCATCTCTGTCTTCATGGCAGATACTATAGGATGTACTATGTATGAATTACAGAAAGGAAGATTCATGTATTACTTGAGGTTACTCTAAACTTTCCATTTTGGAGATTCTCAGTCATAAAAATTGCCCAAATAATACATTTACTTGTAAACTTCAAGATTTCATAATCATCTAGGTTGGAAGGGACCTTAAAGATTATCTAGTCCAACCATCAACCTAACTCTGACAAAAAAATAAATAAGAAATAAGCAATAATAATAATAATAATAAAAAAATCTCCCTTCATATTATAGCTTGACTCTATTTTTATTATCCAGCAAGTTTGCTTGCATTTGACCAACAATTTCAGTCCTAAATTTGGTACTGGTCTTATTATAGAACTCAAATCTTGCTTTTAAGAGGATTAAATGGAATACCTGTTTCTTGTTGTTTGAGTTCCTGGTGAATAGAAAGAGCACTGGGCTCATTTTGTCATGGCATAAAAGGTCTGTCTTTCCCTATTCCTTCTTTAGTCCCCGCTCAAATAACTCTAATGTAGTCAAATGGATGTTAATGCAAGAGATAAGCTGCTGGGTTTCACAGCAAAGTGGAGAAAATGCATTCTCACAAGGGTCTCTTTGGGAAAAGGTTGAATAACTGAAAAACTGACTGAAAAGGAAAAGTGCTACCTCGCTTTTTTATCTGTACAGTTGCTGCCTTACTGGGAAGAACTGTGCATCACATTTAGGTCATCTTCATTTACTGCTTCAAATATGTTCCAGTACCTTGCATGTCTCTCCTTGCTGCTTTATCGTAATGATAAAGGTTTTACTAATGGAGGCCAAATTCTGCTTTCATTGATCCTGCTTCCCCCACGCATCTAAACATTGAAGGGAGCTGTGTATCCTAACTCTTTATTTTTCTTAATACACAGTTTTACTGTTTGTCTTGTAACCAGGCTGTTTTAGATTTGTTCTTTAGGCTGCTACGTGTAGCAAAAATATTTAATAATAGGTTTATGTTGCTATGGAAGTGTGTACATATATAAATAACATATACACAATTCAATTCGGTTTTTGGGTTTTGTTTGTTTGTTTGTTTGTTTTTTCTTTTTCCTACAAGATGAGCTTTAAAGATGAGATATTATTCCAGGTGAGGCTCGATGAGGCCCTGCGCAACCTGGTCTAGTTGGGGGTGTCCCTGTTGACTGCGGGGAGGTTGGACTAGATGACCTTTGGAGGTCCCTTCTGGCCTGGACAATTCTGTGATTCTATGATAAGACAGTACCTGTTGAAGTCTTCCTGTATTTTACTCCCCAATACATTTTGCAACCATATATTGGATATTAGATTTCTGTGCACAGCAGTTGCAGGTAACATTCATCTCTGTGTTTATAATTGATGAACTTCTGGGAATTTTGTGATACTCAGTAAATTCTTTTAGCCCTCAACCTGATACTGAAATAATTTGCCTAACTACAGAGAGGCTCGTTTCCCCTGCAGCTCGCAGAACATCCAATGAGAACTGACTCTTGCTTCTTTGTCCTAATTTGCATGTTGCATTAACGTAGCCCGGACTCCATCCTGGTCTCTGTGGGACCATACATCAGACAGAGATAGCTCCAGAACTTATGTTCCCACTGAATCTTTGGAGCCCTTTTCTGCTGCTATGGAGAAGGAAAATACAGTGATTGCTTTATACTTACCTGGAGAAGTTTTTAGGATACCAGCTTTGAATTTGTAGCGGGCCCACTTCCCTACTCTCTCTGCCACAGATTTGCCCTGTGAATTTGACTAATCCTTTAGTTTTTCTAGGCCTTTTTGCCCTTCCACAAAATGGGATAACAGCATGTGTGGTACTGGGTAGGCAGAGTATAGAAGGAAGCTGTCAAATACTTGGATTTGATGTCAGCAAAGGTGGATGAAAGAGAGTGTCCAGCAGAGATTCTGGGGGTGTTTTTCCTTTTTCTCCTCTCTCTTTGACCCTACAGCAATTTTGCATGCTATTGACATGAAATACATTAAATAATACCTTTCTTTATTTTTTTCTAAGACAATGATAATCTTAAGAAGGAAAGAGGATTATGTTTCTCTCATTTCTTAGCTAGTTAATGTGGATATATACTGCCTTCTAGAACCAGAGAGTTGCCTCAGAGCAAAAATTTTCCTTCATTCTGCTATTGTTTAAAAATCCAACAATACACTGTTAATTTGTTACTATGCCACCCAGGCCATGCAAAGGAAGTAAAGAAAGAAACCACTTGGAAACCATTTGGAAAGAATTAGCTCCATAGGGATATTTTTAGCCTTTGGATATATGTTAAGAGCAAACTTAGTACTCTGTTATTCTTCTGGATCTTGAATGAATTGTGATTCTAAGCATTGCTAAATGTATTACTTTACCATTGTTTTCAAATTGGTCATGGGCTCATTGCAGCAATCATTGCTCAACTGTATTTCAGAAGGAAACCTTAAGTGAACCATTGGTGAAACTATTTGAATCTGGAGAAGTTGTCTCCTTCCCTGTTTTGTTTTCTTTTTTTCTTCTTCTTACAGATGCTGATAGCATTGAATTAGAATTAACATAAGGGCATTCTTCTATAGTAATTGCATTATGAATGGGTATCTGCTATTAGTTAAATAGTGGCATGGAAAAACACAAAGCAAGGTTAGTAGGGTAGCTTTTTCTACTTGTCATAGCTGATTCATATTCTTTGTACCAGTTAAATAGTTTAGCATTTTACTTATTTCTTAGAATAAATCGTTTCACTAACTTAATAATATATGGTGTATAATTAACTCTGTCCTATTCAGAACTCGACTGTTTTGTTGAAGTTTTGCAAGAAGAATAGTTGTGCCTGGTGAAGGAAATCTTGGATAACTGATATCATGCCTGGTTTATGTTTAAACTCAAAGACAACATAAATTCTTGAGAAACTAATGGTGTGTCATATAGGTCATATAATAGAAAATATTGCAATTATCAAATTGCTTTACTTAATTGTATTGCAACTTTTTTCAGCTTTTTGGTGTCAGTCAAGAGCTACAAAAATGGTCCTGTTTACTTCTGGGTTGGCATAATGTTAGTTCTCCATAATTCTTGTGCTTTTTAAATCAGGCTCATTTAATCACTGAAATACTGTAGCACATCAGCAAGCTCTCATAAAAATGCTTATATGTGTTTAATGACCATGATGTTTTTGAAATTATTACTTTTATGAGGTGTATAGCTCATTTTAGCTTCCCTTTAGAGGAATAATAATTAATGAAAATAGGGACAGGCTTGTATATGCAAGCGGCACATTATAGAGACATTTTACTTGCCATTAAGTCCAATCATTTAAAGGGTGTTGCCATTTTATCTGACAGTCAAAAAATATTTACAGTGTACTAAAATCACTTTAAGCTAGTGTGGGCAAGGATAGAGGAATATTTATTATTGTTGTTCACATATTTTTTTTAAGCATACCTTGAAGTGGACAGTGACATCAGCTTTCACTAAAACCTCAGCTCAGTTGCTGAGATTGTGGCCATAGTAGCTGGTGCTCAGTTGTGGTCATTGCACTTGGGCTCTGGACCAGTTGGGAGAGTCCGGAGGGGAGAGGATGATCTGAGGTCTGAAGAACATGGTTTGTGAGGGAAAAGTGATAAGAATAATCTCCCATTGTGCATACAAAGACAGTGCAGTGTAACAGAGTAAATAGAAGCCAGGGAGGTTTTATGTAAGGAAAAAAAGGACTAACATTGCATTGGAAGAAATGGTGGATAAGGTCTAGAGAGTGGGAAAGAACTAGGTGAAGAGGTTCATTCTAGTCTTATTTTCTATAATTCAGTAGGTTAGTGGTGCCTCTGTTGTAAGTGTCCCTCTCAGTGTCACTTTTGTGAGATCTGCTCCAAAGACATTTGCCAGGGATCCCACATCTACATGGCAGAGAACAAGGCAGAGCATGTTTTGTGAGGTAACTGCTCCCACTTCTCATGACCAGCCTTTGGCAGAAGATGCCCTTATGACTGCTTTGTTCTGTGGACATGGGTGATGTCTGGTGAGGAGGTCCCCAGCACTCAGGTCTAAATTAATAATATAAAGTAGCCATAGGAGAAACAGAATTTAGGTAGAGTTTGATGCTTCAGGTGGATTGAACATCTCTACCTTCTGTTTGCCTACTAGTTTTGTCCCCAGACATACTGCAGAGAAGGTGGGGTACATGGGTGTCACTAATTGTAACAGTTTTGGTCTTTTATTGAACTGAGACACTCCTGTCATGCTGTTGTGCTTGTGATCTTGCTAGGCCTGCTGAAGGCCAGTTATTTTGTCTACTTTATTTTTACAAGTTAATATATTCATCAGTTTCTGTGACATGTAGGTAAGTCTGTAAAAGAAAATTTTTGTAAAAAGATATATTTCCAAATAAATAAAACCTGTTTGTTCCTCTCCAGTTTTCTTCTTCTTGATAAGAAAGATATGAATATAATAAATATTTCACTGATTTTTTTTTTGACTGAGAAGTAATAAATGTTTGGGTTTTTTTTACAAAAGATTTCATTTTGAAAAAGTAATAAATTCTTAGTGATTTTTATTAGATAATTTGTACCTGTTGAAATCATTCATATACCTCTGCAGTATTTGAGTTATCTTATAATTTTATAATAGTTGTTAATTAATTTCTTCAGGAGTTGAAAAACTTGGGGTTTAGAGAACATTGTAAGAAAAATCTTTCCAGAAATCTGTTGACAGTCTAAAAGCATTTTTTATATAAGCTAGTAAAATGGTAGTTCAACCTAATAACTCAGAGAACAATGGCATTTTGCTAACTTTTTTACAAATCATAAATGAATGAGAGAATATAATAAGATTAAAAAATACCGGGTTGTGATGTTAATGTGTGCTTTGTTCATTTCTTTGACAAGTGTTTTTTTCCTAATTATGTAAGTTCCAAATATACCAGTGAAAGCATTAGTGAAATTAGATTTCATTACAGTTCCCAGCTATTGAGTAGTTTAAATAAAGAAAACCTACTTTCTTTAGGGGCAACTAAGGCACTGCATAGTGTGAATTGATGAGGAGTTCTGTGACAATTCTGTAACAGTCCTTGAAAAAATGTTATCATTTCACTTTAACTGAATCAATATTTTTTACATCTTTTTCTGGCTTGTTTACCAGAAAATCATTACGCTTTACTTAAGTGGCTGTCTAGTGTCTTCATAGCATTTATCCCTCTTTCTTATTTAATTATGTCTGTTGAAGCTTTCAGGTAATTTCTCAGTGGATGCTTGTTGTTGTCTCGGATATGTTTTGTTCCATGTGGCTTTGAGTACTGATGAGGATATTGGTTCTTTCAGTCGAAAGCTGTCATTTGCTGATGTTGTTGCTGACAAAATTAATTTTGAATAAGCTTTTGATGCAAAAGTGAGAGCTGTTCAGCGCAGAGAACAGGGTAGTATACTCTGCACAGTGGGTTTTCCAGTACACGTCAAACGCCATGGAGCTCCACTATTCTGATGAGTCAAGAGAGCATGGGAACTATTTGGGTTCATAGCAAAGAAGAGGAGGTTGAATATTGGTACTTGAAACTTTAAAGTGTCTTCTCCCTGTAATCTAACTCTTGCTATATTTGTTCAGCTAGGATTGTGTGTTAGCAGAGCTTCAGCATCTGTCCTCAATCTCAACTGCTGCCTGGTCCTTCTACCCATGTGCCGTGTTCTCTTGGCCTTCCTGCGAGGATCTCAGAAGGTAAGACCTGTCCTCACAATGCAGCAGTTAAGAAGAGGGCCCTGGTCTCTGTTTAGTCTAAAAATAATAGGAAGAAATCTGTTATATCCCTGTTTGTTACACAGTATGTGCCTGCATGGTGCAAGTATCATTCAGCCTGGATTCATGACCCCTCTGAAGACAGTGCCTTGGCTGGCATTGCCTGGTTTGATTGGACATGTTGTGAGGAGGGTTTCTTGAAGGCATTTTTCAAGCACAGGGTCTTGCTGTGGAAGTGTAGCCACATGAGTCTTCTCCCTTCTTCCCAACTCTAATAAAAAAGGCATCTGTCCTGGGAGAATTCAACAGAGCAAAAAGAACTTTGTCTCTGCATGACCAGAAGTGTCCTACTGGAGATGACAGAACTTCAAATAAAAATACCCAACCTGATATATTTGTTTTCATGAGAGAAAAAAAAGTTCTGTCAAAGCTAAGAGCGTTTGTTTTCTGTTCTGGTATTCAGTAAACAACAGTTTAACCTGTTTGTGATTTGTCAGTTGCTTTGACAGAAATATAAGTAATGCTTTTGAGGAACATCTGTGTTTTCTAGATGGTTGTAAATTGAACCTATGAGCTCTGTTCATAATGTGACAGTACCTATAAGATTTGATACCTATAGATGCATATGTATGCAAATATACCTTTCCATCTGATCCTGCTCACTAAAGAGTCAGTGTTGCTGACAACAATTAGTGCTTGAACTCTTAAATTTTAAGGCCAGAAGGGCCTTTATTTGCTCTTGACATGTATATAATACTGTTCCAACTGTAATTTCTTCATTAAGACCTCAAAATTGACTTATTGACTTAATCTTGCAGTTTTTAAATTTAGGTACTATGCTTTCAAGGGTGTTAAACGTAATAAAAGCTGAAGTTGGTATTAAATCACCTCAGTTGCTGTTAGTATTTTTTTCTTTGCTTTGTTTTAGAAGAGAGATTGCTTGAATTCTTCTCTTATTAGGTTGCCAGCAGGAAATCCAGAAGGCTGCTAGATAAAAGTAAAACTTTCCATGTGACATGTGGTGTTACAATATGCATCTTCTCAGGTGAGATCTTACTGTGCTGAGCAGCAGCTTGTTTGGGAAATGTGCATTAAAGCAGTATTTTGTGGTTTTTCTTATACAGTACATTTGGGGGTAGTCTTGCTCTGTGCTTCCCTGCTTTAAATTGTGAATGCTTTCTTTGATACGTGTGGGTTTTGGTTTATTTTTTCCTTTAAACACATGGGCTTACATCCTAATGCCAAGCCTTTCTCTAAAATTCGAATTTCTGAAAGGACAAGTATATAAGATCAGGTCAAAATCTGCCATCATAAGTGACCTTTGATCGTCCTGAGGAATTTGACTGGAGGAGCAGGATGGTACAGGCTTATCTGCAGAAGAGGGAGCAGTGGAGGCAAATACTCATTGCACTGAAAATGAAATGTTCCTTGGTGGACATCTTTGAATGTTGTCTCCCAGCTGAAGCATTGCACTATGGAAATGGTTACTGCAGTGTTAAAAAAAAAAAAAAACAAACTGAAAATGCATACAGCTTTCTGCCATGAATATCTATAACTTGATTTACTTCAGAAGAATAATTCCTTAGTCCCTGATGCATCTCATGCAGGTGATGTGATTTTGGCTTGGCATCTGGGTAGCCACTTTCTTTTACTTCACTTTCCTTTACCTCCTGTTTATGGATCTCAGCTTTAGTCTGCCTTTTTTTTCAGTCTTGCATGTTGCTGCTCATCTGGTGAATGCTCTTAACTTCTCTGAGAACTACAATGAAGACTTTCCATCAATAAATGCAGCGAACTATCGTGGTGAGGTGAGCCAGATGTCCTTTTATATTTTGCTTTTAAGTATATTATTTAAACATATGATTACGTGTACATCCAATTCTATTGTGAGATCTGTCCTATGATCTATACAGGGCTCCTGATTTTGTGCACTGAAACCCCACCATTGTGTGGATTGCTGTGGATTTTATTTCTCTCTCTGGACAAAGCATGTATTAAGCACTTTGTTTAAGCCAGCAGGATTCAGACCTCTTGGATTGTGAGGTGGAGAATGCTGTCATCAAGTCCTTTCACCTTATGCCCTGTTCTCCTGCTTCTTTACAACATGCTTCAACTTCTGGGCAGCCCTGAGCTGCTCAGGCAGTTAGACTAGATGATTGATGCAGGTCCCTTCCAACTGAGATAATCTGTTCTATTCTTCTGCTTCTTTCTGTGCCTTGGCTGGTCCCGAATGAGACGCTTCTGCTTTTTTGGAAAAATACATTCTGCGTTTGCAATACTTAGAATATAGAACTATGTGACATATACCACATATACTGTTGGTAGTGAGATTTAAGAGTGATTTTGCATTTTTAAACTGCAGTGGGAACTGGAGTATATATGCGAAGGGTGGAATTAGTTATCTGCATGAACTGGGCTGGAAGCTGATTTCTAGTTATGAAATACTTTGCATGACTTCTGACTGTGGTGCAGATCTCTTTGAAGACATACCACAGTCCTAGTCCCTCCTCCAGGTGCTTGCTTGTGCATTTGGCGCTGGAGAGATGTTTGCAGATTTTAAGAATAAAATCAGAGTCCAGGACTCTTTCCTCTTTGGGCTACAATCAAGTTCTCTCTTGTTTATATTCAACCCGATCTCAAGTCTGCATTTCTTTTCTACCAGCTTCATTAGGAAAGATTTAGAATGACCCTATCCCAGCTGCATCCCTTCCTGGAAAATGAGAGCTTGACTCAGCCCAGGCGCAAAAGGACCAACAACCAAGGTCTTCCACTCCCTGGGTGAATGATCTAATCACGGAGCTATTCTATGGCAGACAGACATGCCAACACCAACTATTGTGCTGAGGTTCTGGATTGAACTCAAGTGTCTGCATGTGTTAGGAGTGGTCTAATAGACTCAGCCTCATCAGGAGCATTAGCAGGAGCATGCTGCGGGCGAGACCGTGCCAGCCTGTGCTAAGCAGCCTTAGGAATTTTGCAATAGAAAATGGAGATAATAGCAAGTTTTTCATAAGTCTGGAATAAAAACCTCACAAATTTTAGGTACTGTAGTAGGTCTTGAACCTTTGTGGTTGAATTCCACTTAAATGTGTTTTTTAACTGTGGTGGGCAGTCTGGATGGTGCTGTCATCTTCTGTACATGGGTGTGCATGTTTGGATGCAGACGAGGTCAGGGAGAGTGAGGCTTCTTTTTTCGTGGCCTGTGTGAAAACTGCTCACCTCCCCTCACTGCATTTTACTGCAAGTTTGAAGAAAAAAAAAGAAAAAAAGGTTTTTCTCTGCAGTGAAGACAAAACCTCAGGAGGCGTAGTAATCAGGGAGAGTGAGGCAGTTTCCTGCGGGATTGACATATCCCCTCTTCCTTTCACGTGTGATGGAGGACACAGGAACATCTGGCCTTGTATTGTCATCTTTGTGTTCAGTCCTGCTTCACTGGAGTCCACTGCAAGTCTCTTGGTGATGTAATTGGCTGTAAAATGCTCACTGCTGGTCTTTCATTTATATTCTCTCTTCTGCTCCCCTCTGTCCTCCCAAAGGTATGAAGTAACTAAGTAAAGTTAGGCTGTCAAAAAACAATTATTTGTAAGATTATCTGGATCCTAATTTTACATAACAGATCAGAACTGTCTTCACTGGGGGAATGCGAAGGTTAAAAGTTTAGTTTATGTTGAATTTCAGTCAGTGTAAACTGCTACCAAATACCAAATCCATCCCTGCATCCAGATTTAGGGATTGCTTATGCCATTGAGCATGTCAGCTGTATGAGTTACTTATTATTATTGCATTATTCATATGGATATAAAATCATATGCACTGACTTTTTTTTTTTTTTTTGGCCTATCTATTTTTCAGGACCCAAGGAAACTGCTTTTTGCTACTGGTAAGTCTGTTGCCAAACTGAATGAGAAAGTTTGCTGCTTCTCATCCTCACTCTCCAGACAAAACATTTTGATCCTGTGTTTGCATGCTCCATTTGTTGTATCTGAGCTCAGTTGAGATGTGTTATTTGTGTTAATATAACCTGGGTTTGCTTATCCAGTAGTCAGGAGGGAGGACTTACATAAGCCCTGTAGTAGGATGAGCAGCATCTTCAAAGCTGTTGTTGTACAGATGAGTCAGTGGAAAATCATCGGTTTCAAACAGGGATTCTGCATAATATTAAACCCAAATTCCTAAATGATCCAATTTCTAGAAAAAGAAACACAACAAAAAAGAGGCCGTCTTGCTTCAGCTGGTTTATTTAAGGGTTGTTTTGACTTCAGAGCCATCTAAACTGTTATATGGGAATCAGGCTTCAGCACTTACAAAGAATAAATAAGCAAAAACATTTTTTGGTTCAGTAATTTAGAAGGGAGCAACGTTTGGGTATGGAGGGGTAGGCACAAACCTGAGCTGTAGTGCTTGACAGGCAGGCAAAGGTCCTTTCTGAGGCCGTCCCTCTTTCACTCTTATTTAGATCAGATGCAAAAATCCCAACTTTATGGCATTTAGGACAAGGTCCAAAGGAATCCGTCTGGACAGCAATAAATGGGATTCTAGATCTGTCAATCCAATATATTTACTAGAATTGGCAGTGTGTAGGAAAGGGTTTTCCAAAAGCCCTAAGCAAGGTTTAGGTCAGTTGAGAGCAGGGGAGGTGAGAAAGTGAAATGAGAGAAATTGAGGTACAAGTTAACTGCTAACTAGAAACAGTTTGGATGACTGGTAGTTAGTGGTGGAGGCTTAGAAGAAGGTAATTCACAGAAGAGGGAGTTAAAGATGGGAAGGGAGAATCAGAACAAGCATAACAGGGATAACAGGGAAGAAATTGGGGTGAAGAATGAGTGTAGAGGCCCCATCAAATATTGTCACACCTTCTGGGGACACTTTGAGACCTCACTAAGTGATCAGATGATCTGCAAGGTGGAACTGCTTTTATCCTCTGACAGCCAGCAAAATACTGCATTTTCAGAAGTTTGAGCACAGTGTTGCAAAAGCCAGTGATTCCAAGTCATCCTAAATGTAGAATTACTCAGATTGCTCCCCGTCCTAACAACCGCTAATTAACATTTATTATTTGTGCTGTGGGAGTGCCCAGACAGGGACCAAGATTTTGCTGCAATGGGAGCTGTACAAATATGCAAAAAAGAAAGGTCTCTCCCCAGCTAGATTTTTTGGCTGGTTTGTGTTTTTTTTTTTTTAACTCAGTGAGGAGAAGGAATAAGGATTTGGAAGGATTTACAGTGTAATGGCTTTTCAGATCAATCCAGGAAAGAACCTCCTTGCTTAAGGCTGTGAGGCTCGGGGAAGAACAAGTACTCAAGGTTATAGTTGGTGGAGGAAAAGAGGGACAGGGAGGAGAGGAAACACTAAAAATGCACTGATGAATTGGGGCAAGGTTGGCAGTGATTTCATGTTTGCAGTTTGATGGAGAAGAGAATTGAAGGACTGGATGGAAAAGGTGATCTGTGACTTGAATGACAATGTAGGAAGCTGGATCAAGTGCTATACCGCAATTGGATCGGAAGTATTTGTGTCAGAGGGGACACTGCACACTACCTATCAAATTAGATTAAGAAACAAGAAATGAAGGAGGAGGTAGTGGAAAGAATGCACACTTTTTATTGCAAATATTTTTAATTGTAACCTTTCCATGAAGGAGGGAAGTTAATGTTTCTTATGCAGTCTGTGACAAAGCTTCCATTGATTGTAGGACCAGGAATTTTCCTAAAGTTTGTAAAACTCAGATGGAATTTGGGATGTATCAGATTTTGAGTATCAGACTTGTCAACAAGTGGATATTGGGAAGTTTATAAAAAGATAAAATTTGAAATTGTCTCTTTATTGCTAAAGAGTCAAAAATCACAATCAATAATTTAAAAAATTAGCTTGTTGTTGTCATTAGAATGTGATCTTGTAAAAGATTCTGGACCATTAAAATCTGTGGTTTTGCCATTTACATCCTTGGAAACTGGTTGAGACGCTTGTAGTCTGACACTAAACCAGCACTTACAGAGCTTTGTGCTTGGTGATTGGCCTGACTGACTTTGTTTAAACCCAAGCACATGGCTTCTGGGCTGACCAGAGACTATACTTAAAAACTACTGTTCTTTCAGTAATAAAACATTTTGATGTAATGCTTCATGGATTTTAGGTTCTTAATTCTAAATTCAGAATCTTAATTTCTGGGGTGGCAATTTTGAAGATAAAGAAGTGGTAAGATAAAGATAAAAAGAAGATTAAAAAAGTTCAGAAAAAATGGCAACAGGGGTTTTTGTAATCTATCTTTAGGGTGATGGTTTACTGTACTTTATGGCCAGGATCCTACTTCAGGATGAGATGAATCATGTTGTAGAAATACGCTCCTTTGAGTTAAAAAAGAGCTGAGGGTAGACTAGTTCTGACATGGGTCTGCATTTGAGCAGATGAGTCCAGTCCTTAATGTTTTTAACCTTTCCTTCTCAAATACTGGCTGTAGATCACTCTCACAGACCTTGCTCTACGGGCAGCAATTTCAAGCATGGTACAATGCCATGGAGAGTAATTTCAGGCTCTTTTTCATTCCAGGATGAAATGGGTTGGCAAACAATTGTAGTGACAGCTTGCATAGAAATTGATTTGCTTGAAATTCTGTCCCTGACCAGGTTTTTAATTGTTGTCTTCAACAGTTTAGGGTTTGGAATAAAAAAGAGATAGAGAAACTTGTATGGTCCGTCTTACAAATAAACAAATAGACAGGATTTGCTGTTGGTTATCTGCTTAGAGACAAATGTTATGAGCAAATGATTACGTAGCAAAGGCAATAGGAAATTAGTCATGCATGGTGAAATGCAAGGAAAAGGGCAGTTTCTCTGGGAAGGTGGGAAATAACCCAAAATCTCTTCTATCCTATCTGGTTTGATACATTATTTGTCTTCAAGAGTTAAACACATGCAAGAGTTTGATTGAATCACGATTTCTATGTCTGATAACTTCCACTTTCTTAAAAGACCATAGGAGACAAGTTTATCTCTTCACAATCCAAATGTAAGTTATCTCCTGTCTGTTTTAGTTCCAGGTCTGACTGGAGTCATTATGGTGCTAGTATTATTCCTAATGTGTACCGCTTCTACCTATGCCATCAGGTAAGACATAATCTGATCATTATGCTGAAAAATGCCATTTGAGCAATTATATTCTCATACTGATTAGAGAGAATGAAGAGTAAATGCAATAGAAGTCAAGATGTGTTTAAATAACTGTTAAAATACCAGTTTTCTTGCCCTATTTTTTTTTTCCTATCTTGCAGGTAAATTAGCAAAATGAATTTAGTATTTAAAAAATTACAAAACCTGATTAAAATGCCTTCAGAGGAAAATACTGTTTGAGGAATGTGCTTAGTTAAAAATCTAGACCTTTAAAAATGCAAATAGTTTTTTTTTTCCTGCTTGTACAGGGAGGCAATAAACTAAGCATATGGCAAGTTCTGTCCAATGCATAAATTAAGTCCACTGGAAGTAAACTAAGATGATATCTTTACCTTAATTATTTTCACCAATTAATTCTAACAACAAACTGTAAAAAAACAGCAACAACACCAAAAAACCAGCAATGAAGCAAACTAAAACAGAATTGTGCTACTTAAGTAGAATATCACTTTTTTAAAGATCTGCTTCTGCTTGTCAGATACTTTATTTTTAATGTCAATTATAATTTTGAAACAGCAGTGCAGCATTGGCTCAGAGTAGCTGTCGGGATTTCCAAAGGTTTGGCCCTCCAACGGGTTCATGTTCTGCACCAACATTATTGAACACATATTATAGTACATTTGAGTGACCGATACCTCGGAGGATGTAGCCAAACACTGTAGCCTTTTTAAGGCTTGATTCTGCAATTGAAGTGTATAAAATAACCCTTGATTTTTGCAGCAGTCTCTGGTGAATTCAAAGACTGGTTATGTAAAGACACCATCTCGATTCAGCAAACTCTGAAGGACGTTTTAATTCCATATCTTCAAACATTAATGGTGCTCCACTGATGTGAGCTAGATACAGGCTTTTGAATGTTGTTGAACAAATCTGTCTTTCCTGAGTAGCAGCGTTATCAGGCCCTGATTCAGAAGAGTAGTTCAACAAATACTTCACACCTTTTGTAGGCAAAGGTACTTTCAGCACTGAGACCTTTGTGAGACTCTGTAGGCTACAGAAGTCAGGATAAAGCTGTTGCACAAGATGTCAGACATGGCTGCACATTACATCGTCCACACAGATGGCTCTACTTGCAAAAGAAAGTTTGGGGAAGATGGAAAAATGAAACAATTACTTCACTCCGCAGCACTGAGCCAGAACAATGTCCTGTTTTCTCCAAGGCCATGATAAATTAGAAAAAAGAGAACAGCATTTAGTAATTATTGGGAAACTTGGGAAAATATATGTAGTTGCAAACATATTCTTGGAAATAATAATTTTGCAGTTCATGCAACAAAATTTTCCATCTTTCCAAGTTACATGCTTGTTATTTCCTTCTTCAAGTGCAAGTGCTTTCCTGTTGTTCTGCCATCTAGCCAGCAGAATCAAAGCTCTTAAGGGATCATTTGCGTCTCCTGTTTCTCTCCCTGGGGCGTATGGCTCAAACTTGTCTTTATAATGTATTTTCCTCAGGAAACAAGCTTCTGTGTGCATCTTTCTTTCCCTTTTAAATTCCTTTGCCTGTGGATTCTCATCTGCCTTATGATGGTTAAACTCATGCTATGGTCTCAGAAAAATTAATTGTAAATGTTCACTGCCTGTCAGAAACTGAGTTGTGTTTTTTTTTAAGTATTTCAGATACTATTATACTCTCTTGGATTTCAGTCCTAATCCACTCTTACACACTGACCTCCTTAGTCATTTCTTCCTTCATGTTTTCCTCTGCATGATTATCCTGCTATTTTCATGCCTTTACTTGTTGTGTGAATAAGTATTAGGAGGATTGAATTAGCTGCTAATGTTTTAAAGAGGGGAGAGTGAGTGTTATTTGAAAAATTTTTTTAAATTTTTGCCACATCATACCTGGGAATTAAACCAACATTTTTTGTTCATTTTTTGTAGGGTTTTGAAGTTATTAGAAAATACAATAAAACCTATGAATAAATGTTGACATTTCTGCTAACTTGCAAATTAATGTTGTTCCAGAGTATTTCCATTGAACACAAGTACTGGTTTTCTTTGGAAATCATATATTTAAAGGAACATTAAAATATAAACTGTTCCAATGCCATTTCTTTTTGTAATCAGATATTTCAGTCTCCAATTTCATCTTCTAACTACCACATATATCTTCCTTTTCAAATGTAGCTGTAACAGGGTTAAAAAATTTTCTAAAACTGTGCTGCTTACTGTGTCACTTTAAAGCATGGCAATCTCTCCTTACATTTCTCCATAAGTTAACTCTTGCAGGTTTTCACCCACAAAATTCTAAAGTAGGTTAACCAAAATTAAAATTAAATATTCAACTTGATCTGAAATTTCTAAGACTTTGAGTTCCTAAGAAATGCATTTGTTCTGTGAATAATATCACTTTTAAACCCTAAGAAGAAGGTAAAGAAAGTAATAAATGTTCTGAAGAACTATAAAATATACATGTAGCAGTAGGAAGATTACTGAGTGTGTTAGAATATTGTATGTATCTGTAGAACACACAGTTTAAGAAGGTGTCATGGTTTGGGCCAGATTGGCCACTGAAACAGATGACAGATCCAAGTAAGAAACATATAGTTATTAAAATGTTGGAAAATTGTTGGACTTGTGAGGAAAATGTTGGACTTGTGAGGAACCAGGGTTTTATAGTAGACGTATCTGCAGGAATGCTGAAAGAAGAATAAAATGCTCGACTGGCTGGTAGCTGACATTTCAACATACTCTACATAAGAAGTGTACAGTAATTTTGATAAGTAATAATAATTAGCTATTGAAAACAACATGTCAGAAGCTGGGATTCACTTTCCATCCATGAAATTTTGAAAAATTGGTGCATTCTGAAAAAAAGTTCTCAAGATGCAATAAAAATTAATTCAGTATGCAGTTTTTGGTATTGTGGCAAGATACCAAATTAAACCAGAGTTCCAAGACCTGCTTCAGGTCTGAAGGGGTAAATGTTATTTTCTTCGTGCCTTCTCATTGTACTTCCATTCCCCACACCACCATCCTCTACTTTCATCTTACTGACGTTCCCTCCCACAACTCCTTACAGATCCTGCTGAGGGACTGTATGAAAATGCCTACCAGGGTGTGGGTAGTTCGAAATGGTTTGAGCAGCCTCAAGGAGAAGGCTTGTTAACGTGGTGCTGAATGGGGGAAGGATGGCAGGATGAAGTGGGGGGGTGGTTCAGAGCCGCCTGTGATTGCTGGGTTCCTCAGAACTGCCCTTGCTTGGGTTTTATTTTGGCAGCCCTCAGAATATCAAAATTATTTTTTTCTGTCTTGAAAAAAAAAAACCAGCTAAGTCCTGTATTGACAGAAACAAATGCAGTTTATGTTTCAGATGTATTGAAGCAAGGGCAGTTAGCTGTTTATGTAAAAAGGCTGTAGGAGGGGAAAAACATCTGAAAAAAATTCAGCTATGCTGGAGGAGTAGCTTCTTAAACTATGTACTCAGAATTAAGACTATTTTTTATTTAATAATTGTTTTGGCTTCTGAATGGGGGTAGGTTTTTTGGTTTTGGAAGGGACTCTCCTACCATGCTGTGTAGTGCAAGAGGTGTGTTTGTGTGCTATGAGACAGAATATTTTCTTAACCATTTGGTTGTTGTTGTTGTTTGGTGACTATTCTATTCCAGAAAAAAACAAACAGGCTTAACAGAAAACAGTTCCAGATGAGTATTTTCTTTGGTCTTGGTTCTTTTTGCATAACCTAACAAATTACTGATGAAAGAAGTCCTATTTGTCCTTCACCTCTCCTGAGCCTCACAGTGGTAATGTTCTTGTTCCTCCCAAGACCATCAGTCCTAGAGCACCACTGTATGTGGCCTCCTGCCCTAAAAATTCTCCCCACTGTCCTCTCCTTGCCTCCTTGCTCTAGTTCCTTTTCCTGCTGTATCTCCTTCCACTGCATACCCTCACAGATTTCTTTTACCTTTCCCAGCACCCCTTCTGCTGCTGTCTATGCTGCCTATTTGTACGTTGCACCTGTATTGGGGCAGGCAGAATGGGAGGAGGCACTCACTCTAAAGAGGTTGGGTTTTGAGCCTGGAGACTGAAGAATTATTCTAGCTATTCTAGCTAGAACCTATGAAAACAGTGAAACCTCCTAATTTTGGAAGGGTTCTTCAGTTGGGTTTGTATTTCTATGTCTGTTATCAATCTTTCTCAACTTCTTGCTTTTGTGCCATGTGTTCTTCTCAACACTTAATTGCGTGCAAGTACAGCACTTCTCAACACTTAATTGCGTGCAAGTACAGTATGCCTGGAGGAATACATACTGGGCTTTGACTAATCTACATGACTACGTGGTGTATAATGATGTCCTGTGTGCACAGATCTGCTTTTAATGAGCAGTGATTCCATCTGAGTGAAACAGCATTGAACCATGGTTTATTCTTTTCAGGGTTTCAAACTATGACATCTTCTGGTATACACACAACCTTTTCTTTGTGTTCTATATGCTGCTGATGCTGCATGTTTCTGGGTAAGTAAATGGAAAACACTGTCCCTTTTCCTGAAGCGGAACCAGAAAGAGCAGTTCTCTTAATTATTGCCTTTCCTGAGCTCGCTTGTGTGCAGTTGTGGGCCAACTTCTTGACAAGGTGCTATGCTCTTCAGTTTTTCAACAAGTTATAATTTAAATAATGTCTAGACTGTAGCTTGGAGAATTGTGTGTTACTACAGCCAGCTAGCACAAACTTCTTCACTTTCAAGTTTATTCCTTGTCCATTTTACCAGAAATCAAGAAAACAGTATTGTGTCTTTTCTGCCCCCTCTTACCTGACTGCTGAGAGGAGGATGAAAACTAAAGTGGCTCATCCCTTTCTCTTTCCTCTCTACCTTACATTTTAACTCCTAAGGAGACAGAAGGAATGGCCTCCCCCTAATTATCTCTTTCCCGTTGCTATGATATAAAATATACCAAGTTTTTTGTTTTCACAAACATGAGACGAGTGTTTGTGAAATGTGCCGTGAAGCTGACGGTCAGGTCTGTATCTGGCACAAACAAGCCCAGTTCCACCACAAGGTAAAGCAGCTTCCACAAGTTATGCTGTGAAAATATGGTCGTTAACGTCTCTGAAGTTTCCTTTGTGGATGTAGGTGCAGAGACCGGTATAGGGAAGGAAGATGTATTTGAATGAGATTTATTTCTCCATGTCACCAAACATCTACTGAAACATGGGGTGTGGGAATATCTGTGCGACCCTGAGCACCACTGCTTAAAGTAAACAGTGAAAGGTAATTAGGCCTAGCAAGATCACAGTAGGAATATGTTGTGGAACAAAACAAACGCAGCTTGAGATCTGGTGAATTGAAATAATGAATTCAAAGCAATTGAAATTCCTGGACACAATTCCAGTTCTCTGTGTTTTTGGCTTTTTGTTGGTTGTTTTGTTGTTTTGGTTTTTGCTGCGGCATAGTTCTTGTTCATAGCTGGGGAAGATGGATGTAACCTGTTCTCCCCAGGATAAACTTTTGCTAAATTATTCTTGACAGGTGTTTGTCTAACTTCTTTAAAACATCTGGTGACGGAGATCCTCTAGCCTCCCTAGGCAATCTGTTCCGGTGATTGCCTTCAGAGTATTTTTCATGTCCAGTTTAATTTATCTCCTTCACTGTATTATCCTTTGTCCATTGTTTTCCCAATCCTGTTGCCACTTCATGAAGGAAGAAGTATAGTTGGAGTATTTCGCAAACCAAGATGGCAGGAATACACCAACCGTTAAACAGGCATCTTGTACTCAGCCTCCTTAATATTGAATTGGAAAGCCTTCCAGTGTGAATCTAAAAAAACCTGCGTGTCAGTTAAAAGTGGGAGAAGAATGAGTCATGGAGAGTGGGAGTCAGTTCAAGTTTAAGATGCCTAAACGTAGGTCTCTACATGCTTTCTAAGTATCTGCCTCCCATTATAGTCTAATGAGTTCTAATAAATACAGTCAATGGAGCCTCAAGAGTGCTTTAGCTAACCTGCTGTTACAAAGATCTACATTCAAATGAGTTTGATTGATTTCTGGGCTTTGTTGATAATATTGATTAGAGGATCTCTTCTGAGAATAAAGGAAGCTTAGACACACATGCTTAGGTGCCCATGTGACTCCTACATGGTATGTGTTTTGACATGGCCAGTTACTCTACAGAGCAAGGCATTTCTTGTGGCTGGACTGCACAGGAATACTGGGTGAGGATTTTCCTGTCTTGGTAGTCTTTCCTTTTGAGTATTTCCACAGATTCTTGTTTTGTTTCAAACTTTTATAGATATGTTCTTATAGTATCCTCTTCTTTGGAGTAGCCAAGCACTTCTCAGCAGTATATAAAGTGACATAATTCATCTGTTGTATATTATTGGTTTGTTCTTTCATCCCTACCCTAAGGGAAAGGAGAATCTTTCAGGGAATTATCCTTAAAGACTTGCATTGCTCTTGAACTTCTTGCAACATGACTTTCAAATATTATAGTGTCTTAAGGCTTGGTGCATATCTACATTAATTCATCTGTATTTTAATCCAGTAAAAGCAACAAGAAAAAATAGTTTACATTAAAAGAGAATCTTGATGTCTCTAGTACCAATATAAAGAGCTATAAAACATATGAAAAAATTAAAACCCGATCCTCAGCTGACCCAAATTTGGTATTGCTGTGGAGTTAAGCAGGTTATGCTGGTTCATAGAAGCTGAGAATAAAAGTCATTGATGTTATCTAAGGATTTATCTTCCAAATGCTGAAAATTCTTAAGATTCCACTGCATGTTGACCTTTAGGAGACCCCTCCAGCAACTCACCTTGAATTAAGCAGTGGAAGATGGATGAGAAGATGGGAGCAGTGCAGTTCCCTATAAAAACATTAAGAACCATTAACCTCTAGTTTATCATCGTAAAAATCCCAAGAAATAGTGATAGATATTTTCCAGTTCTAGCCAGAAGTGAGTGTTGTCTCTATTTTGGGGGTGGAAAATTGGGATGGAGGCTGATGTATGCCCATGCAAATAGACTGCATGCTGTGCTGCTCAACAAACAGGACAGGTTAATATGACTTCCCCTTTTTGTCTCTCCCATTTGTGTTTGCTAAAGATGTCTGTCTCCTACTTAATGGCATCCACAAATTGTTATGTATTTAAGTGTTAAACCAAATAATAATGTGAGAGTATACCTTAGGCTCCTTGAGAGCTGTGCACAACTCAACCTTTCTGGGAGCTGATCTTGGGTGTGTAAGACAACTTGCCTTTCCTTTCCAGCTTCAGAAACGGGAGTCATTGCAGCTGCTGTTAACAGGCAGCTTTGTCATCCCAGTTTGCCGCTCAGTTAGCATGTTTGCAATACTTTAAACAAACTAGACATCACTGGAGGGGATGCTCATGTTTGCAGTTCAGCTATTCATGTCTCAAGGAAAACTTTGAATCCTCTTTTGGGATGTTCGAGAAGAGAGAAGCTGGGAGAGCAGCTGGCAGCCATGTACGCAAGGTTGATTGATTGAAAAAATATCACATGTGCCGTGGCTTCCAGCTAAATCCATGAGGCCCCACAATATTTATGGAGCAGGGAACTAGCATAATGCTAGGGATATCTCTCACTTTCCAAATGTGTGATGACCGACAGTGATGCCAGATGCAAGTGATAGGAGTGACTGGGCCATAAATACAGACAGAAACATAGGTGTAGGCACACAGACACTTCCCAAATGATTCTCTCAGGGTCGGACGTGGAGTTTAGAGTGAGTAGGTTTAACTTCCAAGCTGTGCATTATTCACTGGACCATGCAGGAAGCTTGTTACTAGCTGTCAGGACTGCATTTCAGCAGGGAAGATTGACAGTGGCCTGTCAGAAACCATTTAAGTTGGGAATATGGCACATATTCTACTTCTTCCTCTTCTTGTGAATTAAATGCTCTTGCTGCTGCTGTGTTGTGTATGCTGGGGAGAGGAGGGAGAAGTATATTTCCTTATGTTTGATCATATACTTGAGATGACCCTTCACAACATGGCCTAGCACTCAGAGGGCATGTCTCAGCAGGCATTATGTCAGTGTGCCTTATTTCCCACCCAGCACCATCCTATACAGCTGTCATTTCTCCCTTTATTTTTTTTTTAAATATTTCTCCTGGTGTTCTTACTGTCATCAAATCCAGATTTGGAGGCAAGTAGTATTCTGAGGAATTTTATTAATAGTATTATCAGTTTTTCCTCGTTTTCAATGATTCATTCATGTGTTGAGATATTCGAGTGTCTCGGGTTTCCATTTCTTTCTTCATGGTTTCTAGCTGCAGCTGCAAAGTTCTCACTTTATTTTACTCCAATCATAGAATCATTTAGGTTGGAAAAGACCTTTAAAATCATCAAGTCCAACCACTAACCTAACACTGCCAACTCCACCACTAAAACATATCCCTCAGGACCACATCTACACTTCTTTTGACTATCTCCAGGGATGGTGGATCAACTGCTTCCCTGGGCAGCCTGTTCCAATGCTTGACAACCCTTTCAGTGAAGAAATTTCTCCTAATGTCCAATCTAAATCTGCCTTGGTTTCCTCTCATCCTGTTACTTGAGAGAAGAGACCAACCCCCACCTCGCTACAGCCTCCTTTTAGGTAGTTGTAGAGAGCAATAAGGTCTCCCCTCAGCCTCCTTTTCTCCAGGCTGAACAACCCCAGCTCCCTCAGCCTTTCCTCATAGAACTTGTGCTCTAGATCCCTTAACCAGCTTCATTGGTCTTTTCTGGACACACTCCAAAACCTCAATATCTTTCTTGCAGCGAGGGGCCCAAAACTGGACACAGTACTCAAGGTCGGGCTTCACGAGTGCCAAGGACAGGGGGACGATCACTTCCTTAGTCCTACTGGCCACACTGTTCCTGATACAGGCCAGGATATTGTTGGCCCTCTTGGCCACCTGGGCACACTGCTGGCCGACTGTTCAGCCGACAGTCGACCAACACTCCCAGGTCCTTTTCTGCAGCAGTTCTCCATCCACTCTTCCCCAAGCCTGTAGCGCTGCATGGGGTTGTTGTGGCCCAAGTGCAGGACCCAGCACTTGGCCTTGTTGAACCTCATATCATCGGCCTTGGCCCATCAAGCTTAAATTTAACTTTAGCTTAAAAAATAAGCATGGACCCCACAAAATAATTTGCCAGAAAGGTTCCTTGGCTATCATGCAGGGCTTTCTTTTTTTCATTCTATCTATTTAACAAGATGTTATTCAAAGGAGAAAATGATACCATTGTGTGCAAACCTGATAAATACCACGTAGTGGGAACATTCCTGCAGTTTAAGATTTGGCAACTTGGGCCACTTCTGCTACAGATTGCCTCAAAAAACAGGGCTTACTGACTGTAGGGAGGATGAGGGAAAACAGCCTGGGTGTGATTGAACTGGAAATGTGATTATTTAATTTTTTTTCAAGGGTCCCACTATATCTCCCCCTTTCAAGCAGTATTAAGCTTGAGGCTGTTCAGTGGGGGAGCGCCAAGTGAGCTGGAAAAGTTAAACCTTGCCTCTAGTGAGAGGGCTCTATTGTTGCAAAGCTTCAATCTCATTGAAAGTCCTGAAAGCAAATAAAAATGAATAAAAATTCTTACAGAAGATGAGCATTGAGACTGCTTTCTAAAACCCTCTCTGAATTAAGACAAGTTTCTTGGTTTTAACTGTTATTTCAGTGTCTTTGCTATTTTTATTTTCCTATAGGGGGGTGCTCAAGTACCAGACCAACTTAGAGGAACACCCTCCTGGTTGCTTTAATCCTAACAAAACACTCCGAGAGAATATGACGGTGCCAAAGGCTTTTGAAGAGTCATTTCCTGACTATACTACTGAGTCTTTCCCAGAGGACTTATCAGTACCAGAACCCTTTGTACAAAATAACTTTATGAGAATTTGTTCCGAGGAACCCAAGTTCCAGCCACACTTCCCAGAGGTCTGTATGATCCGACGTTTCAGGTATTACAAGCCATGCCAAGTCTTTCAGTCAGCCATAACCACTAATTATTGCTTTTCCAGACCAGATGTTTTAATAACGGAAAATATTATTAAAACCTTCTCAGGCATTTAAAGATTTGGTGGGGAAAAAAACAATCTGTATTAAACCTTGAACTGCATTACAATGTGGTGCATAGAATAGAGTGGAAAAATGTCAAGAGATCAGTTGTAATGTTCTTTTTTGTATGACACGCTAAAAGAGATGTATTGGTCTTGCTATAAATGTGACTTTAAATTATAGCGTAGCACTTCAGAGCAAACATTTATATAACATATTCATAAGGTCCCTTTGTAAGCGTTGTGCGGCAGTAGTTAATTGAAATAATCAAACTCCATTTGTTCTCTTTTTCACTATGCGGAAACAAGTCCTAATACTCATTTCTGGGTTGCAGTTGGTTGTGGTTTGGCTTTGTAAAGCCTGTTGTTTGCAGACAGCCTTGTTTTATATGTGGCGTGGGTAAATGAGCATGATGGCAGTGGGGATAAAAAAGCCTTTTCTCTTTCTGTTTTCTGTTTTCCTTTTGTTTCTTTATGCTTTGTGGCAGCAGCTTTGTCTTCATCCAAATTTTCTCTTTTCTATTGAGAAAGGATGAGCTGGGATGTATTGGCAAGTAGCCTGAGGAAGTTTTGGAATACAGAGTTCACAAACTCAAGGCCCGCCATTCAAGGTGGCTTCATAACAGACCTCAGTGGATTTTTTCTATTATTAGTAGTAGTATTAGGATTATTGTTGTTTTTTGTAGAACACATATGTTTCTTACGAGCTGCAGTGGGAGCCCATTTTATTGTGGAGCATGTAAGCATAAGAAACAGTCAATTCTATATTGAAGTCCTCTAACTAAGTGCTTTGGATTTGTATTTTGTTATGGTAATACACCTGAATTACAAGCATCAATGTACATCTGGCTCCATATGACCCACATGCCATCAAACTTCTGGGCATTTTGGGGCTTAAGATGTCTACTTTAGAGTCATTTATGGGCAAACAAGAGCCATGAAAAGAAATGGTCGCTCAGTGTTCTCCTGGGAGCTCATAACTTTATTTTAGGACTTTTTTTGGATTTGGAAGTGTTTTATGAACTTGGTGATACAAAGATTTTTAGGAAAAAAGCCTTAGGTCTTGTAAGCTACTGAAGTTTTAAGGCTAAAGGTGCATGAGGAAATTAAATACTCTGCTAGTTGCAAGAGATGCTGATGTGTAACTTCAAAAATTGGGAAGAGAAGGTGGATGAGGGTCGAGGGCACTTCAGTGCCATGGCTTGAATGACTGAGCAGATGTGGAATTAGTAGTTAGCTCTGCCATGAGCTGTTAGTAATTGACTCTTAGGATGGGATTTAGCTGAGCAGCTGCAAATGTCTCCATCTGAGGTAGTCACGCAGGTCTCCCTGTGTAATCACTGCAGAGAAATGGGCATTTCCAGGGCATTATTTGTCTAGCATACACGTCTCCCACAGGGGCAAATGAGTCATGATTCAAAAATGTCCATTTCTCTCCCTTGTCTATGATTTTACAGTAGCTTAAAATAAGCATGAATTTTATAGCACAAGAATTAGTTCTTTCTTAGTTTTGTCCTTGTACCTGAGGAGATAGAAAGAAGGTAACAGTCAAATAATATTGCAAGCCAGGAAGTGGTTTTCCATAAAGGGTAACCGCTTTTATAGTACTCTGGTCTGTTAGATTTTGGAACAGTGCATGTACTGTGTCCTACACTGCTGAAATCAGTTACTATCTAACTACACAACACCAGAGTAACATGGTTGCAAATGAGGTCATTAGCATTTTGCTCCTGATGAGTTTCATGATTGAAATCATTTGTGCTTGTGGGTGATGCTGCCGGTTAGACTGATTAAGCCTCCATAACGTGGCTGGATTTCTGCACGTAGAGAGATGTGGAAGTTACTTGTAACCAGAACACTATTCCACAATAGATGTGAAATGAGGTTCTGCGAGCAGTTCTGTAGTTTTGAAATTAGAAAACATAAAATTAAAAGTCCTTGAGGTAGCATATTTTTGTTCTCCCATAGACCTGGTTTTGGATTTCTGGACCTCTGTGCTTGTACTGTGTGGAAAGGCTGTACCGCTACCTCCGCAGCAATAAACCAGTCACCATAACTTCTGTGATAAGCCATCCCTCCAATGTCCTTGAAGTAAGGATGATAAAAGATGACTTTAAAGCAAGGCCTGGTCAGGTGAGTTAATGGGCCCCTAAAAAATTACTGCTGTTTGTGTAACATTGTCTATAGGGATGACTTTCACTTTGCATGTACTAACCCATCACTGAATGTTTTAAACATATATTTTCTACCATTTTATTTTCTCTGGCTGATTTTGTTTCAGTACGTTATTCTACACTGTCCAAGAGTGTCCGCACTGGAAAGCCATCCATTCACCCTTACAATGGTAAGACATATGATTTTGTTTCTGTACTTTGCCTTTTATTTATATTTGGTAAGCAAATGGTCTTTATTGCCTTCAAGGTGAAAATTCCCTCCAGAAGAGCTTATGTTTCATTTATGAAGGTACCAATGAATATGAAATAGGATGATTATTATGTATGGCAGTACTCAATACATATTTAATTTTCTCCACTGTTGAGAAAATGATAATAGGAACTTTTTTCAAAGTCTTCCATAAGTGGAAAAACAATAATAAATAAATAAATAAATAAGATCCATGTGATTTTGATCATTGTTTCATAAAAGGTTTCAGCTGTTTTTGTCGACTTTAACGCAGAATGAGCACAAATTGTAATGAATTTTGTCATCTTTCCTATTTGATGAAAAGGCATTCCTGCAACTAGCTTTTTTAAAAGTTAGAAAAACATCATGTTTAAAAAAGAAGTTACTGAAATAGTCTTCCACTTTATTTTTGTATTAAGAGATATATCGATGACTTAAAGTGATATAGCAGTGAAGTCATACAACAGTGGGATTATTACTTACTCAGCTCAATTATCTAGAGTAGAAACAGGACACCCTGGAGACACCCAGTTCTTTGGTTTTGTGGGGTGTTTTGTTTTTCTATTTGAACACTGCTAAAACAACGGATCCTGTGATTCTAATTTCCAGAAATAATGTCATCAAAGGATATTAGGCCTGGTTCAGTAGTCTTTTCTCTGACAAAACTTATTTGTTATGATGAGAGTTTTTAATCAGAAAACAACCTGCTGACACGGACCTGCTGGGTTACATCATAGGATGAAGTTGAATAGAATGTTTTATTGAAGTCAGATTGTTTGTGTGAATTGAGGATTACATGCAGTACTTAAAATGGCATACAATAATAATACAAGTTATGAAAAATAACTTTTCCACAAAAACTTCTAGATCTAGAAACTACAGAAAATAGATCTCTTGTTGTGATTCTGAGTTTTCTTAGTGAATATAAATAATTCATTTCTATTCAGATGATATGCAGTAAATTTCAGATGTGTAAGTCTGGTTGATAAATTACAGTTTGTGTAATTTTTACAGTCACATATTAAATATGTAACATTAGAACTAGAAATTTCCACTCATGCACAATGCATTATATTTAAAGTCTGTAACAATAAACTGGGCAATTTCTGTTCATGCTCAGTGCTTTTCACTTTAATGTACAGTGATATCCTTCAGCATAACAGCGTATCCTTCAAGATTGCATACATGCTTTAACTATTACAAACTACGACGTTACCATTGAGTTACTGAGCTTCATTTTTATTGCCACAAACATATTTCAGTAGAACATCAACTATGCTGGAGAAATCCTGTTATTGGGTAAATGACTGTTTCACAGCATAATGAGGATTTCAAATGTCTAGGTTTATGACGATCTTTTGGCCCAGCCTAAGTAGGGGACAGTCATTTCCACATGTCTTTCTAGGTCATAGAATATGCCTTGGGCTGCTGTCCTGTTTAGAAAGCTTTTTCTTCCTGTTGTTTTATATGATGCCAGACATGGGACTGTGCTTATAGAGTGTGCAGGCAATAGCCTAGCTAAGTATTTTTTTCTCCTCAATTATCTGACCTACTTGTAGCTACCAAGCAAGCTGGAATACTACTGCTCCTTCCTTTGTTGGATGATGATAATCCCTGGGTTATTTAGAGGCTGTGGAGTCTCCTTCTCTGGAGATATTAAAAACGCACATGGATGCATTTCTGTCCAACCTGCTCTAGGTGAACCTGCTTTGGCAGGGTGGTTGGACTAGATGATTTCTGAAGGTCCTTTCCAACCCCTACCATTCTAGGCTGGTGTAGGAGTGTGGGGCTTGGAGCTGCAGTGAGAGCGGTGCATGGGGCTTTTTGATGTTGGGACCATGACTGCAGCACGCCTTGGGGGAAGGCTGCAGCATTCTTCCTGGTGCTCTTATCCTGCTTAGGCTCTATGGGATGTCCTGTCTAAGCTGTTGAAACATCTCAATGTGCCTGGAGTATGCTTAAAACACAAGTGACCACTTCAGGCATATCTTTGTACTTTAAGTGAGGACTGTAAGCAAATGTGCAAAGGAAGGGGTGAGTCAGCGTGAAGGAGTCATGCAGATATTTTACCAGTCCCTTCCCTTTTTGAGGTTGTGTAATATTTACAGTTTAGCTCAGTTTCTTACATAACGCCAGGGTGGAGGAAAACACTGGGATTCTGTGTAAAGGGCCTGAACCCACTCCCTGGCAAAGTCACACAAGTTTCACTCAGAGGCAGAGGGAGCTCTGAATTGTAACCGAGTGAGCATAAAGAGGTTCAGAAATGTGTGTAGTGGCATTTATTTCCTTGTCCTTTTCGTCAATTGAAAGTGTTCTTCCCCTTGCTGATGGAAGGAATGAGCAGAAGTCACTGGTGCAAAATGCACACGGGATTTTGGAGAAGCAAAATCCGTGTTGCTCTGAACTCAGACCTGCCAGGCTAGCTTCTTTGCTAACTTGTGACCTGGCTCTGCTGTCAAAGGCTTCATGTCACAGAATCACAGAATGGTTGAGGTTGAAAGGGACCTCTGGAGAGCATCTTGTCCAGCCTCTCCCAATTGAATCAAGACCACCTAGAGCCAGTAGCCCAGGACCATGTCCAGATGGCTTTAGAATATCTCCAAGGATGGAGACTACACAACCTCTGCGGGCAACCTCCGCCATTGCTTGGTTGCCCTCTCTGCAAAAAAGCGTTTCCTGATGTTCAGAGGGAACATCTTGAGTTTCAGCTTGTGCCTATCACCTCTGGTTCTAGCGCTGGGCGTCAGTGAAAAGAGCCTGACTCCATCCTCTTTGCACCCTCCCTTCAGGTATTTATATACATTGATAAGGTCCCCTTAAGCCTTCTCTTCTCCAGTTTGAACAGCCCTAGCTCTCTTAGCTTTTCCTCATAGGAGAGAAGCTCCAGACCCTTAATCATCTTCATGGCCCTTGGTTGGACTCTTCCCAGTGTATCCATGTCTCTTGTGTACTAAGGGGCCCAGAATTAGACACAGTACTCCAGGTGTGGCCTCACCGGTGCTGAATAAAGGGGAGGCATCACCTCCCTCAACAGGCTGGCAATGTCACTTGTACTCTGAAGTTCAGGCACTTGGAAATCCCACTTTTCTCTCATGATCAATATGGAAGCCAGCATGTTTTTTTAACTCCATTTTCGAAGTGTGCTCCCACTATGTTTTTATTCACTGGTGTGACTTTGTATTCATGAGTGTAACTCCTTGACTTTGTTAATCATCGGAAAGGCTGGGAATGGTAATGAAGTGATTCCTGCAAGTGACCTGCCGGACAGTTCTAGGTAGTTCATAGTGTAATACTAGCTTCATGGTGTCTTCATTGCTCCTTCATCTTTCACTTCGACAACATGCTTTCTTTTTAACATGTTTTACTGTGCTTCTTGCATCGGTTTCAATACACAACTGTACAGAACTGTTACTATGCTGTGTAAAACAGTGTGAGTAACGTTTTCACTACTGTACTCTCTTGTGTCCAATTTACTTATTTCAGATATGATATTATTGCATCTTACAATTGGATCTAAACAGAATACAGTCAGCTCCAATATATTTTCATCTGTAATGGGGAGAAATATTTTCTCTAAATAAATATTTTGGTTGAGGGTTTGTAAAGGGACAAATGAATTTTGTGTGTGTGTTTCTACTTGATGAACTTTTTAAAGGAAAATTGTCTTTCAGACCAAGCACACAATTTGGTCTGGAGATCAGAATATCCAAAGAAACATCAGAAATCTTCTCTTTAGCACTCTGCTTCCCAAGACTGACATTTCTTCACACTTCTGTGGAAGAAAGTGTGGAACTCATGTGCTGTGAAATACAGTTCAAATGTCATTGTCTATAGTGATCTTTAAAGCCCTTGGAAAAGAAAACAAGCATCAGAATAGTATGAATTTCTAGTAATGAGGATGGCTGTTCATTACAGTTCATATGTCCAAAGCATTGCTTCCACTGAGAAGAGACTCGGGCTTGCAGTTTATGGTAACATCGGCTTTCTTTCCATCTGTCTTACATATTACACTTGGTATTGAGTTCCCTCTCTTTCCAGACACTTAACCACACTACTAATTATTTGCAACAGCATAAAACCATAGGACTGATCATTTATGGCTGCACGCTAATTTTTTTACTAATGAATGAGTTCAGAAGTAGGTTCCTGTTTAGAATATATATTAGTTTCTTACAAGATAAGTCGCTTTTTCTGCCATGTTTTTGGAATGTCTTGCATTGGCATGAAGTGATTGGCAGTAAGCCTCATGGAAATAGCCTTGTGTTTTGCAGATGTTAAGTTCTTCAGAAGATGTGCTTGGTCCTTTCATGTGATCTCTGCTTAATCTACTACAGAGTCAGTGCAAGCCACAAACTCTCACAAGCTGCAGTTTAGACAGCTTGGCTACCGAAAGTCTGGTGTCTACTCCCAGCACCTCATAAAGTTTAGTAATCTTGTTGTTTTAGTGCTGTTGATTAGCTTGTGGCAAAGGAAGGTAGGAAACAATTACATCATTTCATATGGAATTTAGATTGTGACAGACCTTGAAATAAGGACAAGACCAAGAGACAAATTCTTTTAAATTTGGAGATGGCTCAGATCTGAGGTTTGGTGAAAACTTCTGCTCTGCAACAAACATCCACAAATGCAGGATCAAATAACATGTTATATCAAATTTGTGACAGTTCTGGTTGTCACTAGCTGCTGACATGCCCCTGTTTTCCCTTTGAACTGAAATCTATGTTGCACAAAGATAGGAGATGCAGTTCTGCCGTTGGTGTGTGAATTCAGAGTTCACTTAAACTGCTGGCTGACCAGCTTAAAGTTTAAAACCTTTCCTTATGGTGCACACAAGGAACAGTGCAAACTGTTCAAAACTGTTCTTTCAGTGGGTACCATCTCTAAACTAGAATCACCACCTCTGAGGACACAAGGAAATTAGTTCTGATTGTGCATGGAGTA